ATGCATACTTTGCGAGATTTACGAGCACGAGCCAAACAGATTGAAGCAATTCTTGCATCTTGACGTGCAACTTGGAGATGCAAGAATATTAAAGTAGTGCAACTTGGCTTGCATCTGCGAGCCAAACACACCTAGGGAATGGGGGAATAAGGGATTAGTAAGCAAAGGCTAGCGGCCGCCCTACGGTACAAGACCTCGGCGCCCTCTTGTATTCTAGTTCTTTCTTTCTCGTCTTTCCTTCTCTATACCAAGCGTATAGATTGGTAGCTAATACAATACTACCTTTTCTCAGCCGTAGCAAGTACTAGGAATAATAGTTATCGATATTCTATATTGTTGTACAGTGTGGTCCTTACCTCACGTGCTCCCTTGCACGTGCCTGCCAAGCTCCTTAGAGGCCACGTGCCACACGTACATATCTATAGTTGCTCCTTCTTCTGCTCTCCTGAATAGATCAGACACTTCTATTGCCATCTCTTAGACCTTTGATCTCTGCTCCACCTATCTAAGTATACGCCATCTGTTACCATATATGTATATAATGACACGTCACTTTAAAAATCAATTTATCGATATCATGTTTTATTTGTTGATAAGTAAGTCCTTAACATCAAATGATAACGAGAGACCTAATTTCCATCCACTAACCTCCTTCCTTCTTCCGAAATAGAGCTCAACCTTATTGTCCAAGAAGATAAGAAGCAGCTCAACTGCTTAATAGATCTCAGCTCTCGAATAGAGCCCAACCCACAACCCATTCCGTCGCTAATGCTCATCATGACCCTGCAAGAAGCATAGCGAGCGAGCGGATAAGGCCTTTATCGTAACTAGTTCCAATTGCAAAAAACTTTGACGACCTTGCCAGGGGCAACCGAGTCGCTCTTGATGTCAGGGTTTAACCACTTTATGGTGTCGACATCGCTGCAAAAGTCGTTGCCGATAGCTTGCAAGTTGTCGCCATTGGCGACCGTGTAATAACCATAGGCGCTGTTCGCTATCCTAGCGCAATCGCGCTTTCGGACTTTGCAAGGAACTTTGAAAACGTCTCCTGGCTTCCCAAAGTCCCGCGGGTTCATCCCTGCAAGCTCTTCTACACTGACGCAAAAGTCGGCCGCGATAGTATCCCATTGGTCGGATTTCGTCATCGTATAAAAGCCGGTGCCATCTTTGGCAGTCGCGGGCCTGCAAGTTCGACGGAAGGCGGTTGCGGCACCGAGGAAGGAGGCGAGCAAGAAGAGGTTGTTATTGAAACGCATAATGGAGGTGGTAAATGATAGTAATCGATCGTTTGAATGGAATGAGTTGATGAGAAGATGACAAGAGGATAGCTCGTCTTATATAGTTGTGACTGCGAAGTGCCTCGGTAATTTCGTATATATACTTTTTATCGCTATGGTAGTACTGTATGAAATATACTACTACGAGCAATACTAGTACGTAACCGTCGGCTCTCTTAAGTGGGCCTCTTTGCTAAAAGTACTATCCCCCCTTATGAATAAACGTCGAAAGTATAATTTCGCAAGGAATCTTACTAGGGCTTGAACCAATCAACTCATAGGGATTCAGCTTTGAAAATTATCTTTGAGCCAGTATTTAGCTTATATAGTGGAGTTGGCAGGGCTTTGAGCCATTAAGAAACCACCGCTCTATGATTTATGGGCTTAAACTGGGTCCGACGTGTATTCATGAAGGGGGATAGTACTACTTTCAATCTTATTCTCCTCCCCTAATGAATACTACGTCGCAGGCGCTACCCACGGTACAGGCCTAAGTATTACCCCTCGAGGGTGCCTTAGAAGTCTAGTTTCCACTTTAAACCCCCTGTTTTCCCTACCCTCGAGGGGTAATACTTACGCCTGCGACGTAATAGTAGTAAGTACTTACACTTACGGTACTACGTACAGTACGTAGGGGAAGGGTAACTTCGTCCTGAAACCAGATAGGCGAGAGCCTACCGCGCGGAGGAAAAGGGCTCGGGCTCGGGGGTCTTTTTAGGGTCGGTTATTTCCCACGCCTCGAAGAAAGTGGAGTTGTATTTCCCATGCCTCAACCTACTTTTTAAGTGGGCCCGCTTCGCCAAATCTATTCGCTGCTTGATATGAGAAAATTTCTCAGTAATGCCGCTTATATTCGAATTCTATACCACTGCAATTTTAGTATTATGATCGCGATTTGTTTCATTACAATAGCGGGAATCTTTCCTGCCAACGCTGCTTTAGATGCTTGATCAGAATCTTTAAACGCTACGGTATCGGTGTAATGAAGAAAACATATTTGCTTTGATCGTATTCGTTATACTCTCCCCCCCTCATGAATACATGTCGGACCCAGTTGAGGCCTATAAATCATAGAGCGGTGGTTTCTTAATAGCTCAAAGCCTTGTCGACTCCACTGTATAAGCTAAATACTGACTCAACGATACTTTTCAAAGCTGAATCCTTATAAGTTGATTGGTTCAAGCCCTGGTAAGATAGATCCCTTGCGAAATTATACTTTCGACATTTTTTCATGGGGGGGGGGGAGTATAAGACCGTTGATTATGCGGACAGCGTATCTTTTGGAATTGATTTCTAAGCTGATATCTATGATTAAAAACACATATATGTTTTTAATTCGCGATCAAGTTCAGCGCTATACCGAGATCCGTAAGTGGTAAAATTGTATTTATTTATTTCTATTAATTTTTTTTTTAAAAAAAAATTGTGAACGTGAATAGCTTTCAAATTATAATCGAGAAGTTTAAAAAATTAATTCTAGTACAGTACTGGTATAAGCGGCATTGTTGAAAAAAATTTCTTGTATAAAGCAGCGAGTAGATTTGGCTGGGCGGGCCTACTCAAAAAGTAGGTTGAGGAATGGGAAATACAACTCCACTTTCTGCGAGGCATGGGAAATAATCGACCGTCTTTTTGGGGCAGCGGTCCCCCCTAACCCTGACCCGCTCTTGCACAAGACGGCTGGGGCCATTCATTGATTGGCCCGTCTAAGAGGACAGCCAGCACCACTTCCACATCAAGAAACAGATTATCCTTTTTTCCTGACTTCGCTTGAACCCCCTTCCCGAGCTTTGGACCCGGCCCTAGGCTGTCCCACAGGCCCGTTCCCCTTTCCCTTCCCCCGTCGAACTCTTGAACGAACGGGTTGACTTACTTAAAGTAGTAGTACCTGCCGGTATTGCACGGTATCGGTACCTGTACTTGGACAACTGCACCGCACTCGAAGGCTCGTTTCACAAACCACACAAACCAAAATTCAAACGCTGTCCAACCTTCGTTTTTAATAGAATACCATTAGCGCAGCGCCCCCGTTTTTTTATTGTTTTTCTTCCTTTTCTCTCTCTTTCTCTCTCTCTCATGGCTTTCGTTCTTGCTCATACCTTTACAGTAGCAGATAGATCCCGAGCCGCCATCATACCTACCGGTACCATACCTCTCAAGTATCGATCGCCCCTCCGCCTCCGGCTCTCAGCTCCGCACGCACACCCAATCACATCCTCTTTTCTCAGGCAGGTTCAGGTCAGAAGGTTTTCGAAGCCGGGTTCGAAAAAAATCGATGCAGCCTAAAAAAATCCCTCAGGTACAGTTACGGTTTCGGTTACGGTTTCGGTACCGGCCTGTGGTCGGTTCTCTCCCTCGGGCCGACGTCGAGCAGGGCAGAGCAGAGCAGAGCGGATCACCTGCTGACTAATCATGCAGGCACGTAGTAGATACCGGTACTGGAGTAGTAGGTTCTTCGGGGACGGTTCCACGTTCGGGAACGGGCCCGGCCTGGGTCGTTCCGAGAGGAGGCCGGTGCTGCTGTACTGTTACCGTACTTACCGTACTTACAGTAGAGTCGAACGCGCGAAGACGGGGCCCCAGAGAGAGAGTGTGTGTTCTTTTCTTTTTCTTTTCTTTGCGTGAGAGAAAAAAGAAAAGAAAAAAAG